TTTTATTGTTATTTAATAATTTCCAAAAACGCCCATTAGTCATAAGCCCAATTCTCTATTTGTCTTACTTCCTGCAATAAACTTGCAAGCGAAGCTAACAATATTTCATACTATATTTATATTCACACAATTATTTAATTTGAATTTTTTTTTTCAAATATTACAAGACTTTACTCGATAAGATAATAAAAATAAATGAATCTAATGATCCCTGAAATCATATTGCTGAACTTTGCCTTAAATGATCGATTACTCTTAAATTTCCATCGCAAATGTGCGAGTTCATTTGAACCGAAAAAATGTGCTGGTGTAAGATGTTTTGAATCACTTGAACTTAAGTAAATACTCCACAGTACTTTCCGTATTATCATATTAACAAAATTCAATTCAATCAAGGATAAATAAAATAACGATAAGTTGCAGGTGTTCAAAATGGGACTTATCATGAAAAGCAAATAATATCATATGATCAAATAAATATGGGGCAAAGTCGACTCTGAGAAACAAAATTCAAGTTTATGCTTAATTCAAAAAAATTCTACTGTCACCATTTGACAAACCCAAAATAATTCTGCCAAGCACAGTGTCGGACAATAAATTTGGTCCACTACAAATGTTCAAATGACATTCATCTCTAAAACAAGCTATATGTGGACAAACCTCACCTATTATTACTTGATTCCGTCGAAAATGGTACGATATTATAGTACACATGATAAATAAAACTATTAAAGAAGGACTATGCCATGCCCCACATGTAAAACCAACAAGAATTCTTCGGCTGAAGATGATACAATAAAGTATCGAAACGTCGCGAACAAATTTAATAGTTTTATTTATCCTGTGTTCTATAATTATAAATAATTTTCACCTAGTCAGCTTTGGAATTTTTTGCATGTAACTTTATTTGTCCGCTCTACTTTTTGAAGGCTCTAGTTCTGTCATTAGTGTCACTTATTAATTAATAATAATTTGTTGTTAATTAAACTTTTATTGTTTCAACTAATTTCCAATAACAATTGATAATAATATATACTTTTGAAGAAAACAAGTTTATAATTGAAGTCTATTTTCGAAGTTGACGCTTAGTAAACGACGATTTTTTTAATTTTGAGTTAAAACAAGTACGTACCGCTATTTTCGTAAAGCGGCATTTTTTATTTTACATGGAAAATTCACAGCTGGCTAGATGAAAATCATTTATAACCACTTTGTACCATTTTCGATGGAATCAAGTATCAACATTTCAAGGACAAGTACAACAAAATGGAAAATATCACCTATTATTGACATTTTGACATACAGGGTGAGTCATATATAAGAAAGACCCTAATAGATTTTCAGACGCAACCCAAAATACAATCTCAGATGTTCGAAATTTTTCAAAAACATAAACATAGATACTTGTGATAGCTTTGACAATTTTTATAACCTGGAATCCTACGGTGTACTTTTGATGCTACAAATTCAGCCACAGCCTTTTGGGTCATTTTCCATTTGTCAAGATCATGTCAGTTTCTTTGTCGTTTGAGTACATTTTAAATTCAAGGGGAAAAGAAAGTGGAATTTTTGACACTATCAAATTTAACTAATGACATATCAACAATTACTTTGATTTGAATTTAATAAACAAAATTTTTCAAACGCACAAAAAGCAAAGTTGACTGTGAGAATGTATTTTGGGTTGCGTCCAAAAATCGGTCAGGGTCTTTATTATCAGTGACTCAACCTGCAGATAATCATTGATAGTCAAAGCTGCAGAAATTTGACAGTGGTGACAGTATTATGACAATAAAGAAATCTGCACTTCAATCATATTGACAATAATGCATGGTTCACATCTTCACACAATTTCAGTTACAAGAATCGAGAACAAGCCATTAGTCGTTTGTAACTTTGTTATTTGCTTTAAGTTATTGTAAATAGAAGTTAATAAAAATTCTTTAAATTCGAAGCAATAAGTAAATAACGTCGGATATTAAAAATGCAATTTTACATTAGTATGGACGAAACTAACAACTGCAATTAGAGTCATCGCATTCAAGAGAAACGGCACAGCCGTTAATATTAGTAAAAGCCGAAAACAACAGTTTCTAGAATGCAGTTCACAAAAGGCACGTAGTTCATTTATACGAAATCACATTTTGCGATGCTCTGTAATGACATTTATTCGGAGTAAGACCTTTAAAACATGAATAACAATGTCATTCTCGGTACATTAAACACAGTCGCTTTGTCGAAGGTAAGTAATCCGCCATAAGCTTAAATGTCAATATTCGATTTGGAAGACGGGGATTGAGAAATTTTCAAATTAAATATATTGTGTCGCTGTGATAAGAGGATATCTCTGACTTATAGAATTTTAATTCTCAGAAAAATATATCAATTTGCGTGACCACGGCTGTCATTGGTTCAAAAGTGCCTCACAGGCAACACGATCAACCCTGCATTTCAGCGCTGTAATAACTCATAGCCAACTGCGATCATATATCAAGTTATCGTCATTGATTAATCTACTTGAAGGCTTCATGCTTGTTGCAGAAGTAATTTGTTTCAGGATGGTGTTAATTTTCTTTGCAACATTGGATCTAAAACTCGGCGTCGTATCGAAGCATTTAAAAACAGCCAACAAGTTTTAATAGATTGCCGGTTGGCTCAAGAACAGATCTTTAGCCACTGTCACCAGCTAATGGCCCGCAAATTAATGAAATGGGAAATCGACCTCAACGTCACTCTAAACAAAAGAAATAATCGCTTTAGATATGTACATCCTACAAATTAATTAAATTCGCAAGAACTGTAAATCCGAAAACATCATTTCTATCATCATTCTACGTATTTTTTATTTAAGGGCGAAATTTTTAATGCAAATGCTTTCTCACAGTGCCAAACATAAAAAACCTCGAAGACATCTTACGTAAAATCGTTCGTGAAATTCGACTGTGAAAACGCTAGAATCATTAGTTTCCAAGTTATTTTTTTTACCTGTTTAACAAGTTTATTTAATTTTTTCTGGGCTAATTTAAACTGATACACGTGACTAAATTTACAAGCTCAATTTAAAGTGGGCGATTATACCATCAAATAGGTATAATTGTAATCTGGTGCATTGATCGTCATCGAATCCTGTTTTAAAATAAGAGAACCCATTGTAACACCATTTTGTTACATTAAAAACAAACAGAAATTATTTCGATAAATCCTGCTACATAAATAATAGTTATTTATGGTATAAGTGGGTTATGTTAGATATACCTACGAGAGGTATGTGTAACCTACGAGGGCTTGCCCGAGTAGGTTATTACCTCGAGCAGGTAATATCTAATAACCCACGTATGCCATACAACGTTTTTTATCCAATATTCCCGGATTGTTATCTATTAAATCTGTTAAAAATAATCTGACGTTTCATATTGAGAAGTGCCAAACAGTTGTCAAAACTTCCTTACACAATTTTGACAGTGTCGAAGAATAAACAAATTTTCCACTGATTTGCCAGATTAGAAAATGAGAACTCGGTGGCCAACTCAAGGACAAGTGATCATAAACATGCAGCTTCTGGTTTGCAAGTCGTTGAGTCCAGAGAGATTCCTGAAATTCATTTTCACGAATTTTCTTTTATCCTGCAATGGGTTATGGATGGTAATAACCCACGCTGCTAATGGCAACGTGGGTGGGTGCTAATGGCAACGTGGGTTATATCAAACAGTCTAGTTATTGCTCAGTTTACTTAACAAAAACTAACAAGTAAAACAACATATTACTATTGAATATTGGATAAAATAATATTCGTTATTCTAATATTTCTTGGCACTATTTGAGTTAAGATCGAGCAGAGTCCATAAAGGAAACGATTCCTTTTCATTCAGTAAATTTCGTTATATATAAAAGTTTCACATTGTTATAGCATAGTGCATAAATACTGAGCGGGAAATTTCCTAAAATAGGTCAAGTCGATTGCCCGTAAAAATAAATGTTTACTCGGAAGTTTCAGCTAAAAAGAAAACACCATATCAAAAAATTATTGCTATTATTAGAAAGAATCTAAAAATACCTACCTTTAAAATGTAATGTTTCCAACTCGAGAAATAATACCCACGCTGATATGAATAATAAGTGACATAAAATTTTCTTTACGATAGGTAAGCCAAGTACAGCCGGTGCGTGTTTATAACAGATTTGTCCCCGTTGTAGCTACTAATTGCTATGAGTTATCGTTTAAAACATTTTTTGTAAGAATTTATATAAAACTGTAACCACATTGCTTTTTTATTAAAATGACTAGGCAACAATAATTTAATTTAATAAAAAATCAATTTTTACTTACCACTACTTACTACTAAATCCGTAAATTCAACCAGCTTCAAACAAAAGCTTATTCTCTAATTGCTTGTATAAAAAGTAACATTTTTATTATTTAGTCTGGTAATTTGAAATGCATGTCAGTAATTGAATCATTATCAAACCACTTTCAATCCAATATTGACTGAATTTTAGATAAGCATGACAATTAAACAGCCATATTTCAAACTATGTTCTAAATTATTCACACACCAGTCATTTCTAAATTTCAAAAGTTACGTGAATCAAACATTGATCTGAAATTAAACAATTTTTATAATCCCTTTAGGATATTCAAACATTTTTTGCAAGAATATCGACATTATTGCCAAGTTTAGTATAAATGTGTAACAAAATATTCAATATTTGTTTAGTAAATTTTCTTATTGTTAATTGTTTTCTTGTAAATCTTGGAACAATTGATGAGTAAAATAAAAAACATTAATCTAAAAAACAGAGATATTTACATATTATATGTATTCTAAATAAATATAGAAAAAAATTGTTTATAAAGGCGCTTGTAAGATGTTAATTTTTCAGGCCTGATGTTCTCGTGCGGTGGCAGGGAACTCAGTGTTGCCTGACATTATGAACTCTATTTCCGCGCGTTTTTATTGTGTTCCTTGAACAGGATGTTAAAAATCCACCTTTTGTTTCAGACATTCCAAAGTTCACGGGTCCCATTCTGAACGTAACGGTTCCGGTAGGTAGAGAAGCGGTCCTCGAGTGCGGCGTCGACAACTTATCAAATTTTAAGGTGAGCAGTAATCTCATGAATTTATCTCGCTAATTTGCTCCAACACCAGACGAAAAACCAGAGCTGAGCGCCTAATTAAAGAACGAAGTGGAAAAAAAGAGAGGAGGGAAGACAGTCGGTCGTGTCGTAAATTTAAAAAGTGCGCGAAGAACATTTCCTTAAATTAAAGTTATTTACCTGAGGAAGTGACGCAAGGCTACACAAAGACTGTTTCAGAGACCGTCAACTCCAATTCATTTAAAGAATTCCAAAAGTGTAAATTTTACTCTCAAAATGCGTAAAACTTCTGTTCTGAAAGCAAATGTATTTATTGCCAGATGTTAGAGTAATAGTTTGGTTAAATAGATGTTCCCGAGGTGGAAGTTCTTAATAGTTTATTACTCATATTAGGAAAAAGAAATCCAACTTGGGTCTTGATTCCCGCTAAACTTCTGACGATATAATGTGCATTCAACACAACAAAAATAATAAGATCAGGTTTTTTATAAAAATATGAATGATAAAATATAGATGTTAGACGGAAACCGTGGAAGGCATCGCTTTTGAACTGCATTTTTTTTCATGACCGGAATTTTCGTTGTTATACTGCCAACTATAACTGAAATAAATTTACATTATCAATAATGCTTTTTTATGGCAAAAGGATAACAAATCCTCAGTCCATCTATCTCAATAAAAGAAACAGATATTGCGTTTGAGGCCATTATCTCAATCATTTTAATAGACAGACGTGTGAAAGCCATTTTAAATCGCCACAATATATTCTATCGATGATAATCCAATACATCTCGCTTTGTATTCTCACAATGAGCATTATGCTTTTATGAGAGTAGTTAACGAGATAAAATGTTTTACTGTACAGAATTTAATAATAATTTCAACAATTATAACGATACTAAATTCATATAAATTTTGTATTGTGCTCGACGCTTTAGGTGTTATTCAACGGATACATGTTGGACAGTGTAAAATATTTTGTGTGGCTGTCCAAATTAATTAAGTACCTTTACAAATAACTACTACCAATTTAGTACATGTTGTTTACCAACTGGAATTATTTATGTGAACTAACGAAATTGATAGTTCCATAAAATTTGAGCCCATTCAAAAAATACAATCTTTTTTTATTTTTGTTTTATAAACAATTTAATTTTTTAAAAACTACCAACAAAGTTTGCTCTCTCTTTGTAACAAGTTGTAAATGCATGGAAATAAAGTAAATCAGATTTTAATACATTAACGCCTTTTGAAGTACCCCAGATCTGTTGTTTTTCCAGATTTCTGGCCCTTCAGATCCTATACTACATTTGGATTACAAGAAACAGCAAAAGTACTACGTAAGTAGTGATATTTGACAAAAAATGCTTCATTTTTAAAAACATCGCCCAATTTAATGTCAGAAAAGCAACAACCTGTTAAAATGAAGCATTCATCCATAAACATTAAATTCCAATTATTTTCTTTTTCTTTACACTTTTAAATAAGCCATGAGAGCACAGAAATTATTCAGATGTGTAATACTAATGAGATATTCCTCAGTTTGACTTGTCACCTCACAAAATTAGCTGCAAGGAAAATCCCCACGCAATATTGGATTTCAAAATGCATGTGTTAGACTTGTTGGAAATTGTGTTTATCGCCTCGCTTTATTGTAAATAGAGCAAAAAATTGCAGTTTGCTTAATTAAATTCAATACGGTTTTTATGGCTGCTTGATAGACGGTACACATATTTTTCTGTAAATACTCCGTTAGACATGTAAAATGGAGAAAATTGGAGGTAACAGCAAATGAGGTTTTACCAAACATCTATTATTTTCAATCTTCCAAAACCTTTTTGTAGAACAAAAACGTTTTTAATTACAATATTGTTTCCACATACAGTGTTTACTTATTTAAATTCAATTTAGTTTCCTTAATCATCTTTAAAAACTGACTGTTATTCCGACTAGAATGTAGAATGTTCTGATTTCATCAAATATACCAATTTATAAGGTGTTGAAAGCCAAACTTTCTCAATTTAATTACAAATAAAAAAACAGAAACAATTTTCTTGTGTCGTAAGCTCGCAATGTGTTAATCAAACAACACTGTGACACAAAATGAGTTAAAGAAACCATTTCCCGCTCTGTTATTAAAAATGCAACACGATACGAAGATGATAAATCTTTTACGATTTTGGCGCACGGACGAGGATTAACTCATGTATTGTCTTCCCGATTCCAGCGTGATATTTAAACCCTATGTATCTAAAACCTCGTTACGTTTAGAAGGGAAAGTATTTGGGGTTGGGGTGATTTTGTTTCACATTACGCATCGTTTATTTAGCAACCCCAAAGATTGATTTTGCGTCAAGATAAAAAATAATCTTCAGCGAAATAATTTAAACAAAGTCAAAGAAATTTGTAACAAGCTACTTAGTAATTAATTTTGAATTAAGTGTTAGACCTTTGGGGAAGTTTTGTCGTAACTGTAATGTTTGAAAAGTTTCATTTACATCGTCTTTATTTTTGTGCTGTGGGACTCGTGTCCCATAATCCCGAATTTATTCTTCGTTTTTAATTAAGGTTTTAAAACGGCTTATGTAAATTACACCTTGGTTCTTAAGTAGGTTTTGGCGAGAAACGGCACATCTATATCAACAGTTATTACAGGCGCTTATTTAATTAAATGCGCCGATCGTGGTTTAGTAAACGGTTGCTAATCCAACTAGGATTGCTAAATTGGTTTGTCCCAATTTCAGGTGGCGTGGTTGAGAGTGGACACACAAACTATTCTCACCATTCACAGTCACGTAATTACGAAGAATCATCGTATTGCGGTCACCCACAGCGAACACAGGACATGGTATCTTCATATACGAGACGTCCGAGAATCGGACAGGGGCTGGTACATGTGCCAGATAAACACCGATCCCATGAAAAGCCAAATTGGATATCTAGACGTCGTCGGTGAGTTACAGCTAAATTGCCAAATAACCAAACGAACCGATTTAATAAAGGTTTTATACGACAGCAATCGGACGATGGCTTGTTAAATTTCGACCAAAATCGGAATAAATAAATCCTCAAAGCTCAGTTTGTTAACGGTTACTTAAATTTCCTTCAAAGCAAAAAGCGATGATATTCCTTACTTTGGCGATTTCTACCGCAGGCTCAGCACTCTTCCCAAGTGTAAAAATAAATATACGTTCAAATTTCAACGTTTTTTTTTTTGAAAATTGCATGAAGAACCAATCTGAATTTAGTATTTAATATAATTAATTTTTTTGGCTCATTAGCTAAAATTAATAAGTGGAAATTTTTTGACACAAAAACTAGTAAATATTTCAAATACAGGGAGATTCTTAAATAGCCCGACAAAATTTTATCACAGCTTTCCAAGAATAAATGGAAATAATCTGTACCCTTTTTACGTTGATATTTTTTAGGGGCAAAACCCCCTTGATCCGTGCCACTTACGACGTTTATGAATTGTTGCAATGATCAAGTAGAGTTCCTATATTAGAAGCACCGCCTCCTTAATCAAATGTATCAATATCCCGCCTGGGCATTTCGTAAAAAAATGCATTGGAGCAGTGATTCCGATTTTTTCTTAGTTACGGGGGTTACTAAGGAAAAACTGAATAATTTTTAATTATTACGAAAAATAACGCAATTAATAAATGCTGGGAAGGAAGGATACAACAAAACTAGATACGCCAGGGAGAATTGATATTATGAGATTGAACCCTTTAAGCTAAAAAACTGGATTTGTCAAAAAAATTTCCCCAGATTAAAGCGCCAACGGGAATCACTTGAACTCAAAAAATGCCCAGGCGAGAAAAGGATTATTTCTATGGAGACGGCGATGATTAGAAGAGTTGGGACACTGAATGTCAATTTTCCAATTTTTCTTTTATATACGTCGGCTGACGTATAATAACAATAAAATTGGATACAAATCAGTGGCGTTTCGGTAAAACTTAACAAAAAGTCAAATAAATTTGTCAAATAAAAATTGACCTCTGTCCTTTGTCATTTTGACCAATTCTGCTGGGTCCTATTGTGTTAATACATAAAGAAACTGTGAGTTGTTTTCTGTGCCTCGTTGCTCCAATGCACGAGACAATGTAAGACAAGTGGAAGTTCTTTAAAACTAGCCAATTGGAGTGTGGGCGCCAAAAGTAAAATTTATCAAAAACAAAAGTGAAGCTTTCACATGATCAAGGACTATTATTCCGTTGTTTGGAGTGTTTTATTTTATCTACGTGAGGTCAGGTCAAGTCTTATATTTTCGTAAGTTTCAGGTTTTAAAACGTTTTCTGGAGACATTATCAAGTTTTTATTACTCATGGTAAATGCTGTATACAACAACTGTGTACACATAATTTTTCCCTGTCTGGCCGCATCTCAGTGTCCATTTATCTGCTACGTCCCTGACCAAATCTGACGTAAAATTATGTCAATTTGGAAATGGGACAAAATTTATAACCTTAAAATAATTTTTGAAATAAACTTGACATTAGTTGCTACGAAAAATTTTAATGAAAAAGGATAGAACGTATATACCTTATCCACATAATACAAAATTGGCTCGGTTTGACGTTCAGTGTCCCAACTCTTCAAATATAGGAACTCTATGATCAAGTACATTTTGATCAAATTAATACCATGGTTTCCACTACCTGGGCTAATACTATTTACGAACACATCAGTGGCGCACACTTTACCTCGAAAATAACATTAATAAATTTTATTTGGAGAACGGTTAAACAAAGAATTTTTTCAATATTTTTTCCAGCATGTTCTCATTTGATACTACCAAGGATAAAATTTTGTCGGTCTATTTAAGAATCACCCAGTATTTTGTAAAACTTTATTTTAAAGATCAAAAACTAAGACTTACTTACTTGAACTGGTGATGTCATGCAATTTTCACTCGAATACCCCTCGTGCATTAATTGAATCCGGAAATTTTTTCTCATGATTGACAAAAACGTGTAATTAGCGCTTGTGTTCCACTCGGGCTAATTAATGACGTTTTTGACAATCACTCAAAAAAAATTCCGGAAACAATGCACCCGGGATATTATGAGTGAATATTGCATTTTTACACTGAAACTATCAACTATAACTGGTGATCTGTGGCGGCTCGTCAGGGGAGGCAGAGAGGGCAGAGCCTTCCCAGTAAAAATAGAAGTTAAAAATAAAACAATTTACTAGAACTTTAAATTATTTTGACCAATTTTGAATCGTACATTACAATTTTTATATAATTTTAACGCTAATAATTTTTTATTTGTTCAAATGTTGATTTTTTTTGCTATAAATAATAGTGAACCAGTTTTAAATTAACCGCCACGAATGAGAGAGCACCTTATCAAGACTTAAATAATATTTATTTGTATTACAAGAAAGGAAAGTGCATTTTCTCTTCCCACAGGTGGAAGTTACTGCCCGAGATCTGTCTAATGAATCAATTACGATTTGTCGAGGGCAGTAATCACCCAGGGAGGAAAAGACACTGTCCTCCAATGTATACATATAATTTTTCCTACGATCCAGCAAGAAAGACTCCAACACTAACCATTTCTCTTAATATCCCAGTTTTGCTATTAAATCTAGCAGCATGTTTTTCAGTTTCTATGGGGGAGGTAAAATTTCAACCTTCCTGAGAGGTTATATATTTTTATTCACAATCACTAATGTAATATGCCGATTACTAACCTTTTAAAGGTTGGGAAACACATCATTAAATCTCATGAGGAGTAATAATATTACTTCTCTTGGTTACCCGCAACCAACCTTAAAATTACAAAGATACCGAGACTTTTTTCTTTCGAATTGTCAAGTTACAGATAATATTTTGCTAAATTAGTTTTCAATTACTTTTGTATCAGTTTCTTTTACTTCTAGGGGAGTACACTGCTCCATTTTGACGATTTTAAATCAGATTCACACATTATTTCAGTATTTTCTTTGACATTTCTGAAATGTCAAACATCATACGCCATTTGGATGGCCTACCAGGTTTGTACCTTAACTTTGTTAGAATTTTATTTTAGTCAAATTTTTGACTGAAAATAATGTAATTGTGAATAAAATAGCATACAAACCCCGGTGGTAATGGGGCATTACCCTTTCTGCTTTATCTTATACATAAGCACTCGGTTGTAATGTACTATTATTGTAATTTTTTACAGATGAGGGAGGTAATTGGCCACTTTAATTTCGAAATTAGGGTGGAAAAACTTACTTTTTCTTAGGGTCATAGGAAAATTAGTTATTAATAAAGTTTTGTAAATTCCTGGTATTATATTAAATAACGGTTAACTGGAAGCAAAACATAAAAAATATATTTTTTTGGCCATTTTCAGGTCTTGGCCCGGAAGCATGGTCTAAAACTGTGATATAACAACTTAAAAAAAATAAAATTAAGAGCATATGTATGAGTAGCAAATTACATCTCCAGGGTAAATAAAATATAGCCACAAATGTAGATTCGGCCTCGCAAATTGAAATTAATAAATTTAATAAATCGTTAAAAAAAATTACAAATTTTATATATTTTTTTGTTTGCTGTTAAAAGTTTTCAAAGCAAAGAAAAGAATAATCTTTTAGTCGTCAAATATATGGCACGTATATTTCAATTTTTGTATATAAAAAAAAGATCTGCCTCCTTTTAATAAAAGACTACGAGCCGCCACTGCTGGTGATTTTTTATTGAAACTATTAATTGCAAAAAAACAGCAGTAAGAGAAAAATTACCCGAATTAACCTAAAGTAGAATATACTCGAACTTTGTTTCACATGGCCGGAAGCAAAATAAAATTCTAGGAAATTCCACTAGAAATTTTTTGTTTAATAAACATAAGTATCAAATACCTTCTTAAATAATATAAAAGCAAATAGAAATGTAAATAAAAGCGATTTGATATTTACACAGTTAAAACACAGTGTCACAGTAAACATTGCTAAACATAATATTTGTGCTTATACTGTCATGATGTATATTTAGTCTTCAGTTAATTCAAATAATTCTCAATTAATTTCAAGTCGTGCTACCTACACATTAAAAAATAGTTTTAAAAGCACTTTTAACTCTCAAAGCTTATTTTTAGCTTTCATTTAAAACTACTTGTTAAGCAATTTAATCCTATAAGGGTATGAAAATGTGTAGTACTTTTTTATACCTTGAGATTGAAACTATAAAGCTCCTTGTTTCCATTCAAAATATGAAGTAGACTTTTTTAATAAACTTGATCTCTGCGTGTTGGAGGCACATATGTTATATTCTCACTCGTCGGAAAAAATTAGTGTAGGCAATACGTCATGATCCTTTTCTGTCATTTGCGCTCCAATGTAATAACCTTCCGATGAAATATCCAGACGAAATCGCACAGCCATCTATCCGTAAAAAAATTCAGGTCAGCTGGTTTACGAGTCTCCCAGGTCATAATTACGTCCATTTTATGCTTTTAGTTCCGCCAGACATCTTGGACTACCCGACGAGCACTGATATGGTAGTACGAGAAGGATCAAATGTGAGTTTACGATGTGCAGCCACCGGATCGCCGGAACCTACCATCGCTTGGAGGAGAGAAGGAGGAGAAAATATTCCTTTAGGAAATGGACAAGAAGGTACATACATGCATTATAACAAATCAGGGTATTAATGATCATGTGGATGCACTTAACAGGTGCCTGAAAATTTATAGCCGCAACTGGAGAGTTGTGAAATTGGAGTTTTTAGCTCCAGTTGTGGCTACAGATGAGGGATTTTATTGCAATTAATTATTCTCTGTGCTATTGATTTTTTATTATTAAAAATTCCTGTAACTGGTTTTACTCTTCAATGGGTTACATTGATAAAAAATTCACTTGTATTCAAAGAAAAGCGTAACACTGCTGTGTTCAATTTTGGCAATTTTTCGTTAATGTAAACGGGGCTTTTTCTGTTACTTGGTAATATTGAACTAAACAAAACTTCAATAATGAGTAACACATGTACCTATTGTTTAACAGAACTTAGCTTTTCTAGCTAAAGTAGCGTTCAGTTCCCAACCACAATTAATTTTAGATATAGAAATCTCAGATGAAATTCTCGTGCAACCAACCTAATCGACCAACCTTCTTTAGTTTTGTGACATTGCGAGCTTTTATCACGTCCGTATGCGGTTCTGCGGAGGCATTATGTTCAATGAAAAAAATGAGTTGTGTGAAAGACACATAAATTAGCAAATTCTAAAATTTTTAAAATTAGCCATAGAAACAGCTTGAAAATTATTCCATTTACACATATTTGGTGAAATAAGTGTACGCTTTTCTTTTGAATAGAATTGTATCTATGTACTAGGTGTTTAAATGTAAAACTAAACATTTTAAAATACGTACATTCGATTATTTTAAAGAAATGTAGAATCTCAAATTGCTTTTGATACTAGTTTGTTTAAAGCACATAAATATCCCATCCCATCCAGCTGCACATCACTCATAAAATAATAACAATTCAAAATGACGATCGATGTTATTTATTTATTCAGTTCATGTGTAAACAAAATGAGAACATTTTAAAATCCCCATCATAAAAATATATTTTTACGAAAATTATGAACATGTATACAGTTTTCAACCTTCATATTAATCGATTTGGTCATGTAACATTTGCACGTCGTCCATTCTTTACCATATGACTTTGCTTCCAACAGGGAATAAAATGGCGCTTTATTCCCTCGTTTTTGACTAATAATGTACCTAGTAGTTACTTTATTCACTCGGGAATAAGATAAATGAAATAGCGTTTATTCCTCTTAAAATAAACTGGAATTGAATGAATATTTTGAGCGTTTTTTGACATAAACAAATAAATTGATATCGATTTTTGCTTTTAAAATTGCAATTGAATGAAGTAAATATTTTGACAAATTATTTGACATTGTTTGACAAATAGACAAATTAATCATTTTTTATGTGCCATATTTACCACCTCGCTTGTAATATACTATTATAATTCTTTTATATCTTGTCATACGAATATATTACAGGCTGTACTATAAAAAACGCCCTAACCCATAATTTCATAGCTTTTGAAGACGCTATAATACTTTTTTTCCTCAAAGTTAAACAAACAATCGTTTGCTTGTCTTAGATAAAATGAATAAAAATGTTTTATTCTTTCCACAGCTTACTTTATTTAATTTAATTTTCAAATTGCCTAAAATCAAAAATTAACGATAAATAATAGTAAATGAGCTTGTTGAATGACAATTTTTTTGAAATTTTGAAAAAATTGAAATTGAAACATCCAAAATAATAAAATATACAGGGTGTTACTTTTAAAAACTGAAACTAATGTCACTTCCGATGAAACAGGAAGCATCTATGCCAAACAATAGATGACAAGAAACTGTTTAACTTTGTTCCAAAAAGTACTGTTATATCTTAAAAAATAATGGAGTTATGGCTTGGGGCCTCTTTTATAATACAGTCTGTATATGCAACTAATCTTACTTTCGGTTTATGTAATTTTTATCCTGATAGCTAGAGAGAAAATGACAACAAATCAAAATAATTTATTGAACTTATAACTATAAAAACACGTACTTCTGGCATTATTGCCCTTACAAAGTGCGCGCTCAAGCTTTTTCCCCTACTACCAATATGGATGGAGTGGTGTAGTCAATGTTTTGTTACATTCCATTAAGTAAATAACTAAATACACCATCGACTAACATTAACAATTAACACTAATATCTAAAACTAGGCAGATTATTTTAAAAAACTGCGTAAAACAAAGTTAATAAAAATACAAAAATCAAAAGACAACGTGGAAAACACGGACACAATGAGACGCCTATGGTATCAGTTCATTCGAAAAACAACTTTGGACTTACGCACTGATTACACATTTACGCGGGAGATTCAAAATAGGTCGTAAAAAGTGTTTGCAGCTTGACCAAGAACCTAACATTGTTGGTATAGGGCACGCTCCTTCCAGGTGTTTCTCCCTCCACGAACGTCAGTCATAATAACAATAAAGGGTGGCGTCCATTGACATTTTTTGAACTGACATAAATTTGATGTCCAAAATTCCGTGTCGGCAATTTATTAATTTAATCGGTTAGGAGGAAAATTTTGTATGCATCTCTGGAATAAACATTACTGTTAATTCCCTCGAAAGAAGATACCCTCGGGGCCTCGGCTTCTTTTGATCACCTCTGGGATTAAAATAGTTGTTTATTCTTATGATACATAAATAACTATTAGGTACTCATTGGAACATTTGATATTATCTAGTGATAGGTATACAGGGTGATTCATCTCAGCTCCGGTCTTCTGTAGCTCAGTTATTATTTAAGTGGGAATTTTGATATTTTGTAGACTTTATATATATTCTAGAGCGCATTTCAGGTAAATATTTTTGATTATACAGATAACCCAAAAATAAGTTACAATACAAACTAATGTTTTTTATAAATGAAACACCATATGTTTCTTGGCATTTTTGAATGTAGCTTTTAAATTCAATGTTTTTAAGTTAAACTTCTATTAGTCGAAATTGCTTAGTTTTTGAATTAAGTTGTTTTTTTGAGGAAAGGAGAGGAGAGGAAAGTACGAACTTTACGACTATAACATTTTTTTAATGTATTGCAGTCGAAAAGATAAAAAAATGTCGAAGTTTTATCATAGCTTTGGGGTTAACTGGTTGATTTTTGTATATGTGAATTATTGTAAATCTTGATTTTTAATAGATCAATATAGTTTGCAGTATGTAGATTTAAATTTTAACTTTTGATGTCTAGAATTGATAAATTAAAAAATATTTAATTTTAAATGTTAATGTAGCAACAATGCCTATCATTAAACTGAGCATTGTTGATACCAAATCAACCATAATAATTCCACCGCTGATCACTTATTTGGGATTCGTCCTGAAATTGTAAAAGCCGACATAAATATCGAAATTCAAATTGTTTTATTGTAAAAATAATAATAGATTTAGTGTAACATACGAGTAAAAGTGATTATTGAGTGATATTTATTTCATCCCTACTGCAAATGTGAACTTTTTGGCTATAAAATAGTAATTTTTTTTTATGTTTATAGTTAAGAATTTTTTTAGTTATTAATTGTAGACACTTAAAAATAAAAGTAAAACTTAATGTTTTTGGAAAGATCATTTTATAATCTTTGAGAAGCAAAAACAAAAAATAGAGTGTTCTATTTAAATTTTTTGGGTTATTTGACTATTAACAAACTTCAACATTTTTTTAACTTTCTGACTGCAATACATTTAAAAAATGTTATATAATCTTAAAGTTTACGGTGGTAATTTTTTTTAGCTGTCTTAACTTTTTTGCAAAAAAATTTTAAAAAGAGGATGTTTTCGCTCAGAAAACCAACTTAATTCAAAAACTAAGCAAAATCGACTAATTGAAATTAAAAGCTACATTAAAAAATGCCTAGAAACATATGGTGTTTCATTTAAAAAAAAAACATGTTTGTATCGTAATTTATTTTTGGACCACCTTGGATAATCAAAAATATTTTCCTGAAATGCGCTCTAGAATATAAATAAAGTCTACAAAATATCAAAAATCCCACTTAAATAATAACTGAGCTACAGAAGACCGGAGCTGAGATGAATCACCCTGTATAAAAATAAAAAAAATATACCTATAGGTATAATACAGTTTCCTTTTTTTCTACATTTTTTTTTGGATATGAGCTTAGATTAGATCAAGAAAAAGTTGTCATAGCACTTAAAAGCTTGAGTTTCATGTATTGTTTAAAATTTATATCTTCCATGCGGCTTAATATCGGGTTTGCGCACACGATGGATTAATCCGTCGCGTTTCGTAATATATGCGGAGCATAAACATAACAATGAATGTAAAGGCTGAACATAATGTATGCATGGTTGGTAACATAAACACGGATTCGTGCAACAATACAGACATTTGAGTGGAACGAGCGCGATGATTTAGGACCGGGGCCGGTGCGAGAGTTCCGGTCGGCCGGCCCGAAGTCGGCCGTTCCGCCCTTAGTCCACTCATTTACACCTCCTTCTCGCACCATTACGTTCTTGCGGCGGTGCTTCTTGGACGAGCTATTGTTTAGAGCATTCATTAAGATCGGCGATAATCGCCGCTGCCATAACTTACCAACTATACCAGCACGCCTTCTTGTTAATGAAGTACTTAGATAGCACAGCAGGAAAATTCTACTATTTAAATGAGTCATAAATAAACGGTTTTAAAATAGCTTAGAAATAGGGAAGGGTGCTGCTACACCCCCGATTCACATCTTTGTTTTCTCGTCTAATCTTGAAAAGGGCACGTGACAAAATACTTCGAGAATTCGTACCTATCGTATTGTATCACAGCCACTAATCAATTTCTCCACAATACGACCTTATGACCATCTTATTTTCATTTTCCATAAACATATTTAATGTGTATTACGCTATAAGAAATTCAAGAAAAGGCAGAGCTTGGGTTCTAACAAAAAAATTAAACATAAGACCCTTTTAACTCCAGATGGGCTATCTCCGAGACAATTATTACCGAATTATTTCGGTTCTTTATCTCATACTTCCTTGTAAAGAAAATGTCTTTTTCCGAATCCGATAAAGACTATAATAATCTCTTCTCTATACGCGATGACGCTCTCAATTTATACAACACCCAACACTCTAAAAAGTCTTAAAGCACAAGGAATACACACAATGGTATTGTTTATATGGAAAAGAACAACAGTTGTTTTAAATTTGTGTAAACGATACGTGGGTGCATAATGATGATGTTTGATCAATATAAAACGTACATACATACTACAAAAACGTAATGATTATACAATAGGACAAAAATTTCACTATTAATTAATATGTCCATCTTTATTTCTTCACAAAATAATGAGCAGTGTAATAAATTGTACTTATTGTTTATTTCTTTCTTATTATTACCAATACCAAAAAAAAATCATAATTAATACGCATCTTTTGTTTAATTAAGTAGGTACCTCAAAAGAAAGGTGTGATTTAAAACAAATTTACTTTAGTGGATCAGGAGAAATTGTATGAGGCATTGTAATAAGATGAGAGACTAATAAATTATAAGGAAAACAATAGATCTAATAAAACTGCCTGCCACAGGACATTGCTTCCTGAATCAGTCCAAACAGGGTAGGTTTATTAATAAATTCAGCTCTTGTCCATGAAACTGGCTATTTAACCGTAACCCTAGACATTACTAAAACATTTCGTTATCATTTAAAAGCTACATAACTTGTCACTTCAAGTACGAAATAATTGCAACACTCTCCAGGATTGATTATCTCAATCACAAAGTGTAAACATTAAAAATTAGATCAGAATTATTGTGAACTATTGTAACAATTAATGACAAAGTTAAAACGGAGCTTTCAAAGTGATGCTTGAAATCAAATGTGTTGAAGTTTACAACTCAATATATGCGGTAATTTTATTTCGCAACAATGCTTAATAAGTAATAATGTTCTAAACTCTACAGGGTCATATATAATAACGACCCAAACCGATTCTCAGACACAACACAAAATACAAGGTGATTCACGAGGAATAATGAGCCTGACCAAATTCTCGATGCAACCACCATTACTCTTCGCAAGTTATTTTGCGACAACTGTAATGTTGGTTGCATCGAAAATTTGGTCAGGCTCATTATTACTCGTGAATCACCCTATATAACTTGACTTTTGATGCGTTTACAAAATTTAAATTATTAATTTTAAATCAAAGTGATTGTTGATATCAATTGTGTCATCAAGTATCATCAATTCCACTTTTTTTCCTTTGAATTTAAAATGTACCTACTCAAACGACAAAAAAACTAACATGATTTTGATATATGGAGAATGCCAGAAAAATGTTGAGGCTAAAGCTGTACCGTCAAAAGTACACCACAGGACGCAAAGTTATAAAATCTGTCAAAGCTATCGCAGATGTCTATGTTTATGACTTTAAAAAATTTCAAACAGTACATCAAGTAACGCATAGTGGCATCTAAAAATGTTTCGGGGTTGCGTCTGAAAATCGGTCAGGGTCTTTATTATATGTGACTCAGCCTGTATATGTCGTTATATGTATGAAGAAACTTTCATCCTACCTATCTCGAACGATTCCGCAGAAATGTAATTACAATTAATGATCACACAGACTGTGTTTCTGTATATGTAAAAGCGTGTTATATAGCTATCCAATTGGCTAAGAGCTCGCGCTGCTTTGATCCTTTGAAGTCGACTCAAACAAACGTCAGGCATCCGTACATCGGTTAAGTGCATTCATTCACTATGCGAATCAACACAACCAAAAGCCAACTGAAACACCAGCGAATCCTGAAATTAATACATGCTGAACATGTGAAAAAAGTTTGGACTCACAATTTAAATCCGATCACTGCTAGACATGAAATTTGCAGAATTAACTCGATTCACAATAGACCTGCACTCATGTGCCCTTCAAAAAATAGTATGTAGGTACTTGAAAATTTCCAGGTTGAAAAATTTGTGGTTATTCCCGGCCGGAAATTTGCCGGTTGTTAATCGGTGGTAAAATCGTCAGTTTCTTTCTAACTCTTTTTTAATTAAAATTTAAATGGTAGCCGGTAATTTATCGTTGTAATTTATAGCAGAACTGCCAAGGCGATAACAAGATAATATTTTAACACTTTACAATTGCGTGAGGGTTAAGTTGCGTGCACGTACGTGCGTGTACTGCCCACCAATTACACACATGCTCGTATATCAAAATGACACCATCACTTCAATCATCACTAACCCTTAACTGAAGAGGCAAGTATCAGTCGGATATAATTTTTCCTAACCACGTCATTAGCCACCACGGCTAAAGGAAATCTACAATTTCTAATTTATTTCGTGCAATATACACCTAAAGCTCGATAAAAGCCCTTAAATTTTATTGAAATGCTCATCTAATTATTGAAACGTCGGTAGTTTGGAGTCGATTGCAATCTAAATGGCATTTCGATAAGAGTCTTATCTACAATTCCACTCCAATGAATATGTAATAATGTGTTGTTTCTTGCAGTTCCCAGCATCGACGGAACAACCTTCAACATAAGTAAAGTGAATAGGCTCCACATGGGCCCCTATTTATGTATAGCCTCCAACGGAGTCCCGCCATCTGTTAGCAAACGGATCATGCTGAGAGTGCATTGTAAGTCTATCGGAAAAAAATAAAGAAGTTTTGTTGAAACTTCTTGTTTCCAGTTCCGCCAATGATCTGGATACAAAATCAACTAGTCGGAGCTATGGAGGGCCAGCAAATAACTTTAGAGTGCCACTCGGAAGCGTATCCGAGATCCATTAATTACTGGACTATGGATGATGGCAACATTATTTCAGAAGGTAATATTTCACGTGCGTCGGCCGTGTCGATGACCGTAATCTGTTGTTGATTAGCGATGATTCATTATTAATGAACAAAATATTGAAATTCTTTTTCCCTTCCCCGGGCAAGACTTTAACAAATATCCAGAGGTTCAAATGAAATAAGAAATAAGAGAATAATGTACAAATTGGTAAAACAAAATTTCTAGTTTTAATTTAGATTTCATTTAGATGAATAAATAAAGAGTTATTTCGGGCCAGATGTAGAAGCTTATTTTTATAATAAAATCGACTCTGGCACAACTTCAAAGCAAATCGCTTATTATTTAAAGCGAGTTTGCGGAATCAAAGCTGATGATTCCCCAGGCAAAAGGAGTAAAAGGCAAAAAGTCACCATCAGAGACAATTTTCAAATCAAAAGCTCTGTCAGAGATATCTTATTTAACAAGAGTGTTTTATTCAAACAACATCCGACAAAACACGAACTTTAAACGAAAGCAAATTACAAAAGACCAACTGTATCCGCAAAATCATGCATTCAATGCTCGATAATAATGCTCAATCGAAATTGTTTGGTAACATTATTCAGAGTAGAGAAAATAAATTTCCAGTGGTTTGAGTCAATTCGTAGAATTATTCAGCTTTTAAGAAAATAGTCTCGGTATCAAGCAATTTCAGTCGCGGAGCGTCAATGCGAATTATTATATTCTACTGATCTCACGTGATTTAGGTGGAAACTTCACCAATTATTAACGTTTCTGTAGCTATAGATCGCTTACGCCATTGATCAAAAAAAGTAAACCACTACACCCAAGTTGGTTTGTGCGGGAAAGCCCAATTAGTGTTGCTTAACGTGATAAATATTTTGTTAAACACATCCCATAATTTGTCACGTGATGAAGCGTTTTAGAGGAGCAGGTAGCTCGGCAAACATGAAAAGGGTTCGGTAATTCCTGCAACACCTAATATGTTACACAAGCAAATCTCACAGTAAACAAGAGAATATCTTGTTATTATCCCAGATTTAGAAGGCAAAACGCTGCAATGTTAACGGTAATCATTTTTCCACGTCTCCAAACACCACACTAATGACTAGCATATCTGTGAAAGTGGACACGCGACTCGCTTTTAAACTAAAACGTTCAACATCGTTCAGGTGTTATCACACGGTCAAAGTTTCTACTAAAGTCTAGCTTATATCTAATACGAAAAGCGCTATCGTGTGGTGTCTTCAAATTATTGCTCTCAAGCTCGGCTCCAAAATTAAATTCGCTGCGAGTACCTACATCATAACACTTACTGGGAACGAACTACCACTAGATATTTATCGTTTTAATTATTATTACCTACAATGAATACTCCCAAACTAACTATTTTCTTGAACAGTTATGGTAATCTTTCCAAATCACTTTACTACAGAAATTCGGTTCTTCATCGTCTCAAGCACGTACCACTTTTTGATGCTTGTTAAGCAAGATAATTTTGAAATAGCATGGATACAATAAGAAATTTTGAAATAGACTATTCGCAGACCTGGAAATCTTGTTCGGTCAGATATAATCTGTCGCGATTTTTCCGTGAAATTGTCCCAAAATTGGCCATCGTCTATCAAGATGAAGTAGCTCTCAAATGAGAAAAATCGTTTATGATTTCCAAGAAAATCTCAACGAGAATTTGTATCGCATCGAGGAAACGACCGTTTCAAACCGCGTCCGAAAAAATATGGCACTTATTGGCAATGACGCTCTCGACCCACTATCACCTCCATTATTCTGTAAATGTGGAAGAATTTCGATGTGAATTGCTGGCATGAATATTTCAAACGATTGAGCGACATCATCATTAATGAACAATTCATACGAAGCAATTGGAAATTTAAGGATATATCTGAGATTCAGCAAACGTTTCTTGGATGATCTTTAAGTGCAATCAAGACACCAACTTAGAAGCGACCTCAAAACTTTGCGGCAATACATCGGCCACTTAACAATATTCATTTAGACTGCATGTGAGCAGCTACCGTACCATAAATAACACAACTTTGATAAGAGGGCTTGAAGCAACTTTGATCATATATTAAGAATATGTCGAGAGTAATCTATTTATCAAACTTCGTGCAATTTACGTTTGATTTAGAGACCAGAATCCGCAATATTTTTACCTGTATCGTTTTTTCGTTGCAGGAGCGAAATATGAACCGGTGTTAGTCGATAACGCCTACAAGGTGCACATGAAGTTGACCATTCGATCCGTGAGTTTCGCTGATTATGGATCATATAAATGTGTGGCGAAAAACTCACTTGGAGAAACAGATGGAACCATAAAGCTTTATCGTAAGTATAATTTCTTTGTTCATGCCTTTTTTATTTATCTTTCTAAATCTCACAATACTTTTATCATAACATATTTACAACATTTTACGACTTTCTTGTGCGAAACACGACCAAAATAATAATAATAATAACAATAATAATAATAATCCGATACGATAGTCCTACTGTCGCTCCAAAAGCTCGTTTCACGATTGAAATTGCACCGCCTTCGAATTTTTTTACACTGTTTTCATATCGGACGTTATGTTTTCTAAATAATATAACGGCTTTTCACAATTCAACAATTTTTCACAATTAAGTTAATATGTATCAAAATAGATTTGTAGAACTCCATGTTTGAAAAAGCTTTGAAACGATAGGGTTTAAATCATTGACTTTCTGAAAGCAAATTTGATCTGACATAAAAAAAAATCAATACGTTCTACTACATATGACTTTAATCTCGGCATTTAGAAGTAAAAATCTGAAAGATTAAAGCTCTTTATATCCAGAAAAAGAGTAATAAAATCTATTTGCAAAACACAACAAAAACTTTTATCCCGCTTTAAACTAATGTAAAAGTTTAGTTTTAAAGTCTAATTTCTAGGGATGATTTTTGAAACTCGAGCACATTATTTCAGTGGGAGCGCAAAATGCTGTCAATTATATTTTTCTTCCTTCATTTGCAGTCTCGTAACGTATGAAAAGGGTGGCCTTTCAATTCATTAATTTTGTTTTCGTTTCACGGTTATACTCGTACATATGGCATGTTGCGAGGGTGACTTCTATCCATTTTAATCTATGGAAATGGAAGCTTTCATGCTGTTTTTTGCAACAGAGGAGGGGACTTATCATCCCCTGCAGTTATAATTAAGAAACTGAAAGCATCTTCCAATGCAAACAAAAATAACTTGAAAGCTGTTACTTGTAATCCTACTTCCTTTTCCAGTTCAATACGTCTTGTGAATTGGCATAAAGACGAGAAATGTACTAATTAGGAAATTTTGAAGGTGGAGCGGTTTTAAAGCTGGTTTGTGTTTTTTTTTATGGTAATAGCGCAAATAAGTTGCTCTTTTTACAAAAAAAAAATTGTTGATATTAATGTAGATACGTTACAGCTTTAAAAAAAATAATTAAAATGAGCGTGGTTGAAACGAAACCAATTAGATAATCTTTCGTGATTACAGAATTTAAACAGCAAATGATTGTTTGGTAACACAAGTCGGCGTCGCTTATTGATGTAGGTAATTGGAGCTTAAAAGCTAAATTACAAATTAATATTAAACATTAGAGAGACAAGATCATCAGTAAATCCCCCATTCGTTACCCGTCACACGCAAGTTCTCTTGAAACATCTAAAGGCGGCAAATCCTGTGATCCACGTGCGAAAGCTCCGTTCAAATATCATCTGCTGATCATCTCGGCGAATTCACTACAATGATAATTCATGCCTCTGATAAGATGCTATGCATGTACCTGACATGTGGAAAATTCTTTTCCTGCACCCCTCCACCGCTTTTCACATCACTGCGATGACAGACGCCGAGAGTCGCACACACAATGCCTTCTACTAAATCGTACATTCGATTTCTATGAGTCCCTTTATCAGATTGATGGCGAAGCATACCTGACTTGAAAGACTCTAACGGTGTTCCCTTCATAAAAAACGGAATGGCAAAGGAAAAAACTCGATGTCCGTTTTGGAATTATGAAAAGAAACTACTCTGACCAGCATAAGCACACAATTAACAAGGGGAAGTTTTTGAAAAGAATTCGACATTAATCTACGTCAAAAGTCGCTTTGAAGAATTTGCTTATAAAGTCAATTATAATTTGCTTCAAAAACACATAACAAATTTCTTTAATAGGAACGAGATGAAAATACGCCAAATTGGTCGATTTTAAAATTTTTGAGGCAAAATCTTACACAACCACCATGTTTGCAAAAGAAACATTATTTCACTTATACAGGCTGTTCCGTTTTAATTGTTACAAATTTAAACAGGTGATACAATATTCAATTTTAAGACGAAAATTTCCTTTGAACATGTATCAAAAAATGTTATGTAAGCGAGCTACAACCCCTGAAAGAGATGCGTTTTTTCATGGGGTTTTCCCACCATTGCAGAATAATAAAATTACAAATGTTGGTACAGTCGGTAACCTTTAAATACCTGAACAATTAAATGTTATTGTTTATTCATTGTTTTAGTTCTACGATAAAAATTAAGTAGGTTTTTACCACAAGATTATAAATTAGTGAAGGTCATCAAGGCAAACTTTGATGTCACGGTGTTCATTACAATTACTAAAGATGAGGAAGAAATTCGGTTACAAATAATATAATACAACACAAAGTATATTGTGTAAAATTATTATAGTTTTTCTCCTAAAACAATTAAAAAAATACCCTACAAATACAGGGCTGCTGATAAATTATTTATTAGTGCCACCTTTAAAGCAACCACTTAAAAAAAATTCTTTTTAATATTTTAATAAAGAAATAATTTTAAGTTTACAACTTGTGAGCGGTCTATATATATTAGCTTTTAGGGCCTAACAAATTGTTAATTGTTAATTGTAATAATCTCTCGACTTAGGATTTAAACTTTAAACTTATGAAACTTTGAGTACCACTTTACATCAGCGCGAACTTATAAATCCGATTCTTTTAGTCAGCTGATCTCCAGTAAAGTATAATAAATAAATACCTCTTCTAAAACATTAAGAGATAATAATCAATTTTCAGACATTCCATCACCGTCGACGCAAAAAACTACAACTTCAACAACAGTGGTTCCTATCAACTTATCACTTGAAAAAGGTAACAACTTAACCTATCCAAAAACACTTACGACTCTCTTTTTCAAAGTAGACACGTCAAAACAACACAGCCGACCAAAGGAACCGGCCCCAGACCCCGGCACCAATGAAATATTTGATCCTGAAACAACAAAAGAAAGAGGTAAATGTGCGAGACACGCTCGAATTTATGTCTGTTTTTCTTTCTCCTTTGCACCGTTTCACTTGGCATTATGTCCTTTTTATTTGCTTGTAAATGCTAGAAGGACGTGTAGAAAAACGGGGCACCATGCCAATTTAATTTCTATATTTCACACAGATCTACGTCTAAGGAGCAACCCCAGCGAAACGAGCCAAGACCACAATATTCATGATAGCTTCTTCTTCTCGGCGGCAATCAGACCATGGATGAGTTGCTTGTGGTTTGTCACGATTGTTATTGTTTTCACCTGAAGTGACGCTACAGTGTAATATAAATGTAATATATTTTTGGCCCCAAGTTATTTTTGTGGAAAAATTCAAATTCCAGTATTATTTGCATTCCGGTTAGTTCCAATAACAGCGCCCACAAGTCGCATGTAAATAAATAAAAATTGTATCAGGTAGTCTAATTTTTAATTTAATAAATTAATAAATTAGGAGTAAGCTGAATGTTAAATGAGTTATTTTTGTAAATAAGTTTTCTCTAATGTGGTGGTAGTCGAGCAAAAATAGTAAAATTGACGCCCAAGTTTTCCTCCTTTTGCAATAATTAAATGTAGGGGCTAATGACCAGCCTGTATATTCATAAAAAGGACTCCTATGTGTTGTGTGTACATATGAATTTCTTGACTGTTACAGAGTTGAGACTGAGATTTATTTTACTGTACCTCTTTATGTTGGAAAATCTGTATTTCTTTTAATAAAATCTTCTAATTTACACTATTGTTTTCATTTAGTTGCCAACTTTCTCGTTATCTGGTGTTTGAAAAAATATGTATGGCGCTTCCATCAGATTACTTTAATAAAATCATTTAGCAGTCGGTGGTGAAAAAGCTTCGTCGCCTTAATCCCTCTAAGGATCAGTTTCCGGCTAGCAGGCGGTTTCTTGCGGCCTTCGAAGCGAATCTTAGCGTGTGCTAATGAAACCCTCGGTGTAATTAGATGTATTTGATAGTACGGCCCTTGGAGTATATTTAGTTTGACGGAGGTGGCGTCGAGGGGAAGTGACCTCCAGCCACCGCATCCGGACTACATTAGCTTATCTTATACTGTCACGGCTTTGAACGCCAAGTGATGTCAGCTGCCAAATGAGAAATGTTCGCCGATTGTGTAGTCACTTTGTGTCAGTTACAGGTTGAATGTGTTTGTTCATTGAATAATCAATAGTGACGAATGTGCCGCGCTGTATATTACGCCATGATTGATTGTCGCCAAGATTTGCGTCAAAACAAACTTTCACGCCATACATTATTATAATTTGCGCACCTACACGGAAATTACACAGATGTGGGCGTGCAGAAACAAATAAATTACACAGAGTAATGCACCACTGTACTGTCTTAAATCACAAAATACGATATAAAAAAACAGTTTGTGCAACACTAATACCTTATATTGTTTCTATAGTGCATTTAAGCTTACCTCTTATGTTGCCGTTAAAATACGCTTCATCTATAAAGTACGTCGTCAATAGCAACGTATCTTATGTGTCTGTAAAATACGCTGATGCATATGTTTTGTCAATTTTGACATTATTTTGACATACTTTTCATAATAATTTCTGAATTTAGTAAAATTTCTGATTCAATAATAGTGTCCTTTTTCTTCTTGGATCTTCTTGGTATGGAAACGATGAACAAAAGCACGATTAGCCTATGTAAGTTATAGACTAATCGTGTTTTTGTTCATCAATATTAGTGTTAACAAAATTTTTGAGGACAACATGCGTTTTATGTTTTATAGTTTAAAAATCTCAGCCTATAACTACATATATTATCCTTAGCGGTGTCAACATTTACGGTTTTTCTCCCATATAAGGAAGTTTTGACAACTGTTTAGCATTTCTCAATACAGATTATTTTTAACAGATTTAAAGCCATTTTAAGCCTTGTTGAGTCTAATTCGAAGAATAAAATGTTGTATTCAACTCGTCGTCGTGTAAATCGGTTCCATTATTCCACCTCGTGGATGATAAATTGATAAACCACTCGTTAACACTCGTGGTTTAATAATCCACTCGGTGAAATAAAGCGTCCGATTTACACTCAAACTTGTCGAATAAATAACTATCTAGTTACATATTAATACTTGTTTTAAAGTTCCTTTACTTTTTTTGTATTTTTATATATTGTTTATTTTTGTTTATTAAAGATCTTTCCCTTAACTTACTGTTAATACTATTACTAAAAAATCCCATCCCAAATTTTAAATGTGGGCCTTATTTAATGCCGATAGTGGGCTTTATTTGGTGAGAAGGTTCTAAAAAGGCATCCATCGCCAAAACAAAAAAACAACATCTTTTTCGTTATTGTAAAAATTGCTGGTATATTTATTATTAGAGAGTTTTTGCAAACCGTATTACGACAAATGGCCATTGCTGGGAAATCAAAAAATAAAACGTTTACGTAAACGTCTTTGAATTGACGGAATTAAATGACGTTGTCGTTAAGGTTAACGTTATACTTAACGATTTGATTGGCAAAAACTCTCTATTAACATTTATAAACCCCGTAATGATCAGTGGCCTGCAAATCTGATACTGAATTATCATCCTGCTGTTTACATCGGCGATTTCAATTGTCATCACAATTTGAGGGGTTATGCGGAGAATGACAGAAATGGTCTTGCTCTTGTTTCATCGATGGAACTAAACAAGCTTCACTTGGTTTTTGACGGTAAAACTGCGAAGAGTTTTTATTCGGCCAGATGAAAAAAGGAATACGAACCGATTTATGTATTGTTATAATGAATAACAAAATGCCATTACAAGATTCACCAGATGTACTATCTACTTTTCCACGTAACCAACATCGTCCGGTTATTGTTAAGCTTGGCACCGAAATATAACAATTTCCTTCTGTTTCAAAACCTAGATGGAGTTTCCAAAAAGCCAAAAGGACTGAGTTTGTCAAAAAAATGGACAGTGCTCTTCGTTAGATTCTGCCAACTGCAATGAACTCCCACAGATTTGTTGGAGTAATCAAGAATGCTGCCAAAAAATTCATCCCTCGTGGATTCAGAAAAAGCTATATTCCATGTTGGAGCGTTGAAACAACGAGCTTGTACAGCAATACATATGTCTTTAGTCCTAACCCAGAGAAAGCCGATGCCATATTAAATTCGTTAAATAAGGCGAGAAACATAAAATGGAACCGCTTAAGAAAGATTTAAATTTCACACATAGTGGTCGCAATTATTAGAAGCTTTTGCAAAAACTTAGATCTTCAAAATTTTATCTGCTTACGCCAGATTGTGCTATGAACCTGAACACTGTAACTAGTCGTTTAGTAAACATTTTAAATTCCGTTAAGCTAGGAAGAATAAAAAAGAAGGAGATAAAACGTCGGGTTAAAAACAAAGAAGAAAGGTAAACGTTTCAGAAAAACTATCGAGATGTTTCAACGTAGATGAGTTAAAAGCAGCCATATCATCAACAAAGTGTAAAAAATCTGCTGGTTTTGATGGAATTGCACTAAAACTTTCTTTTTAATGATATTTTTATTTCAGCCCGTCTGCTTTTGGAATTAAAAAAAAAACAAAGTAATCGCAATTTTGAAAAAGGGAAAATCTCTACAGAAAGCCCATTTTTTTGTTGAGTGTTTGTTACAAGATATTGGAGAGGATGATTTAACAACTCAAAATGTGTCAAATATTCTTATAAATGGTCATCGCTTTATGAACACCGTGTTGCGTAGCACGAACTAATTAAATTTTGAAAAATGTATTTTTTTGGCATTGGAAATATTGTCTTTATCTATCGTTAGCTCTTTGCCGCCTGAATTTTGACCAAAAAATAAGTAAACTGTTTCCCAAATTTTAACGTGCTCTGCTAAACCGTTTTAAAAATACTTAGCTGTATCCATACTTTTCAGCGACCCTGCTTTAGCAAATACGAGTGTATCATAATTGTTGCAACCGGTGTATTTGCATAAATAATTTTCAGTAAAAGATCGTGTTGTTTGTGGGCAATTACTAATTAAATTAGTTTAATTTAAATTTCAGTAATAAATGGTATGAATGTAGAATGTGTTAGGTGATGTCAAAAGAACAATGTGGTTGCTGTTAACAGAAATACGTACATTTTCGGCTTGTTAATTAGTAGTTAAATAGGCAAATTGTAACTACGAAATTAAACTATTTCAATTCAGTATTAATTGGGACTCATAATTAGTGTATGCGTGAGCAACTTTGTTTGATTCATTACCAGTTAGTTAGTTTCAAGTAAAATTGGATATGTTCGGATTGAACCGAGCACAGAGCACTGATAAATACCTACGCATTTTGGTTATCACGAATTGATCAATAAAAAGTTGAAAGGATGAGAAATATTTAATTGAAAATATACAACTGTATATTATTGGTGCGGAATGATTAAAACAATTGTGATTTTTGAATAGTATGATGCGAATGCTTTCACGTTTTGAGAAAACCCACCGAAATGAGAACGATTTTTAATTTGTAAAGTAATACTTTCAGATAAGGAAGCAAAATCAAAAAGCTGCAATACGTTATTCAAGTCGTTTTTAATTTTTGTATGAATCGATCCAGTGTGTCATTTCAGGTGGAATCCTGCGAGAGTGGCCGCAGGAAATGGCTATTGATGATATTATTCGACTTCCGACAGCAAAGTGGTCCAGCTATGATATGTGGACTGCACACTAAACGAAACGTTGTATAAAACGAATCGAACAATACGTTCGATGAATTACTGGATAGGTTTTGTATCTGGGCAAAGAGGCGGTTTTTTCCTTTTTAAATGCAACGAATTTTTATTCTGGCAGCGTTAAAATATATTTAGAATTGTTGAGGCGTTAAAATTTGATTTAGATCCTAACTTTATCCCGCTCGGTGCGCATTAACATTTGTCATTCAAGCGAGACGCAGTATTTTAAAAAAATCGACAAACGCTGAATTGATCTCATATGATCGTGCCTTTAGATGAAGTTTGCTAAATGCGATTAATTTTAAACTCAAACGCAATTATTAAAAAATATTCTATTACGTTTACGTTTCGTATGTGTTTACGAAAGTTTGGGACAAACCAGGTCAACTTCCATGTTTTCCTCTACATCTTAAATGCTGCTTAGTGATGTAATTTGAATTTCAGTCCCTGTTTAAAATTTTCATTCGTCGATCGTGCAATGATTTTAAATGAGCGATTACGAGATGAATTTATTTATCTCATAAACTTCCGAAACCTCTCTTATAAAAACCTTCGTGAAATATTATTCTCTTAGTGACTTTTGAGTTTATCTTAAAAGAGAATAATTTTCATAAAGTTATTATGTTTCTGCAAGAAAACTATGAACAGTGCTGGTAAATTACTCCTGCCTTGTGTCTAATAAATGTGTAAATTTGTTCTGGTGAGGCGACAAAAACCGTTGTCCCTAGTTTTGTGTTATACGTAGGCACACTAATAATGTAAAGTTTTCTCCCTGTTACCCTGCATTCATAAAGTCGTTTCAATAGCGCAATTAAGGAAGATATAATTTACGAGTAAAGTTCATTTCAGTTGATGTGATTCTGATTACGTAATTACTAACTTTAACAAATGCAGTTTTCAACTTCAAATTCAGTGTACTTGAGAATATAAATTTTTACCGCATTAAGTTTAAAAGTTGGTGAGTTTGGAGTAAGCGTTACACGTTCCGATGATAATTTTCAACAATAAAAGAAACTACACGAACAAAAAAAATCGTATACTATCGTATACTAAGTTGAATGAGACGCCGGCACGAAATGCAATTTATACAAATTGAAAAGGAAAGTCCTTAGCCTCCACACTAATAATAATAAATAAAAAATTGAATCACTGAAAGCGTGACAATGGTTCGAATTAATGGTTGGAGATTTTCAAAATGGAATCGTATCTCAAAGTTAAGTGTTTTATGAACGGCAAAAGTAAGCGTAAAGTTTGAGTCCGAGCGGTTAAAAAATGATGGAAAATCCTCATCTCTTTAAGTAACTTCTTCGATAAAACATCGAGAAAATGTGCATAGCTTGATGGAATTCAGTAAGAACCGTATTTCGCAGCAAACTCTGCCGATTTCTGCTTGCTCGTTCCTACGAAAGCAAGCGAATGGCTTTTTCTCACCTTCTCAACCAACTCATAGTATATATTTATATACATAGATGCAGTAAAACTGAAAATAAATGTGTGCATTTCGTTGCATATCTAAACACACCGTATCTACTTGCATTCATTATTTATTTTATTTTATTTTTATCTCCAAACTTATTTCATTTTAAAAATATTTCTTTCCACTCAAACGAGAAAAGTCTTTAATAGCTGTTTCAAACCTGCACTTTTCAGCTACACATTGTTTTGAGCCTGCATGCATCAGTTACTTTGAATTATTTCTCTAGTACCTTCACCAGGAAATGTAATTACGTTCGTCTAAACGGGAATCTACAAGCCAAGTGTACGTTTTAAGCTGTGAGCTTTCTATATGCACAAAGCAACTAATGGGAAAAGCTTGTAAACGACTTATTTCTACAGCTTCCATTAAGTTTTTCATATTTTTAATTTAACACCTGGAAGTGTGAATCACGTCGCCATCTTTAAACAGCTAACACACAGTACTTTGCATTAGTATTTGAAACATAGGTTAACTTTGAGATATTCACTAACTGCAACACAAATGAACGTATTTAAGAACTTATTGATGTTGCATTTCTGAATACAAACGTTAATAATAGTTAGAATATAGGAGAGAAGTGTGCACCTTGAGAAACAGAAATTAAAATAGGTACTTCAAAAATTTTTATTTTTTAGTCAAAACAATCGATGTAAAACAAATTAACAATAATTCTTCAGATCAAAATATTGAACATGTAGAAAAAACAAACAAATGTCTCAAGGTACATTAATGATGTGTACTATGGGACACACGCTGATCTATCTTGAGACACACAAAATAAAATTTATGCGTGAACCCTTTGCTTGGAAAACATATTTTCTATAATATAAATTTCTTAACCTATTTTGTGAAATTAATTTATAAAATAATTTATTTTAATTTAAACAAGATGTATGATTAGGTTTTCTTTGTAAATTATGAATAATTTTACGGTTTATCAAAATTTCAGACAAAAAGAAACTATGAAGTCTAAATTTTCTTTCATCCGCAATCTTAATAAATAATGTGAGCTTTCCGTATAAGCAAAATTGAAAATACGAATATTCTTTGTATAAAGTTGAAATTAAGACATCAAAAATTCATAAATATCAACTAAACAATATCTTAGAATTGGCTTTAATAGGATTTTTTATAAAGAGATTTTTTCCTGAACAAAATCGAGATTGAACTTTATTTATTTCACAGAACAATACATCAATCTCTAACGAGCAAACCTTTTATAAAATTTTGAAGATAAAAATAAAGCAGCAATCGTGTTGCTACTGTTTAGCATGAATGACTAACGTAGTATATGAATTAAAATGATAAACTAAACTTTACTATTACTTTTAATAAATGGTCCATAATCAATTAGCATGTAAATAATAAATCATAAAAACGGTGATGGATAATGCAGGGAAAGCGGGTAAAAAGATAAAACACCTTACTAAAAGAATTGTGAATTATTTAAGGCTCTCTGGTTGGAAATCCGTTGAGTAGTCAAATTACCGACAGTAAAAGATTGCCTTCTTCGGCACAGGTAGCCCCTGAATTAAAGAAGAACCATTTCGTAGCGATTACCCGCTTTTATTATATCAATAAAGAAGTTGTAAAAGTCAGTGTCATAACTCCAATATATTGTAATATAATTTAAAGCTTTTGTTACCCAAATCGGATAATGAAGAGTTTGTGTTGCAAATTCGCGGCTGCCTAATTATCAGGCGTTCGTCGGAAACTAGCGGTCCGCATGTAAACACCTTCATTATATGAGCACTGAGCTTTGTGAAATATTGTAGTTGAAGGGTGCCGTAAAAGGTTAATAGGCAACCTCCGGGAGCCCGTAACAGGTCTCACGAGACAAGGATTCGCGGCATTTACTTCTTACACGCTGCTGCATAAACGATCCAAATCGCGAAGGGTTGCTGTCAGCACTCTTGCAATACATGGCCCCTTACACATCATTGCTAAATAGTAATTTGCTTTTAAAAGTTGCAGATTTGTCACGAACTGAGGATGCTTCATTATCGAAGACGTTATCGAACTAATGAGGCGTGCATCTTGGTTTATTCGCTTAGAGCGGCGTAACCTATCAAAACCAAAGAACTTTGAGATAACGGCTATCGAATATCATTCGAAAAAGCGCTTGGATAATTTGCGACTTAAAACGAAACCGAAATGAATCCCGCGTTGGTAAAATGATGTAAAAAATATACGTGTTAACAGCTTTTTCAAAGGATGTTGAAGATGACTTCTATTCACATTGTGTAACGAGATATATACCTACTGTTTTTATATTTATTTATAATCAACAATCGCACGATATTATCGGCTTAATGATCTGTCGCATTTCCCTACCAATTGATACATAAACGTAACAAAGAAAATCAATAAGGAACTGGTCACGCAAGAGGCAAAATCACCAGTTAACATGGATTTAACCGAAGTTTGTTTTCTTGCATAAGTACAATTCGTGTCGAATCTTCAGCAGAGTTGTCACGATATTTCCTATTTAATGCGCTTCCACATTAGACCATTCAAATTTTACGTGGGTTAATCACCACACACATCCAAGACATACTCGACCGGGAATGAATTCTAAACACATTCAAGCTACAATCGGCAATCGGTAATTTGTAAAAGTCATTCAACTGTTGTGCAAGGTGTGTGATGCTAGGCACCAGTTGTCGTCACCCTTCGACGTCGCGTGCAAGTCTTACCCTCCCGATGTGTTTCTTGCGTGTTCCGGTCTGATTTGATTCGAAAGAATGGAATTGGAAGTTCATCTGCTGTGCGTATTCATCCGAGAACGCTAGGCGGACATAATGACGCCTCATATTTTCTAATTCTTTTTAGTTTCATGAAATTACGACGGCGAGAAGGCGTAACAACTGATCTTCAGTAATTTTGTTTACGGTAATTTTATCCTTTGTGTGAAATTAAAAAGGAAGCAGAAGTGTACGTGCTAACGTATTAATTTTGAATGTGCGTTACAACAACGTTTTAAATTTAAATAAAATGCTTCACATCAGCCTGACATCGCCTCACTATCACTAAATTTTCACTTACAAGTGTTGTAACTACTAATCCTAGTGCAGTGACTGTGTTCTTGTTTCACTACAACGCCATTCTGTGCCATGAATTGTCATATTTACTGACAATTTTGTGAAGCATTTAATTTATGTACATACATGTACATATGTGTAAACCTCTTGTTTTCAGAAATGGTGTTATTATAATGCATGTGGATTAATTAGAATCGTTTAAGTAAAAACAGAAGCAAAATTAATAATACATTAAATTGCATTTGATGGTATCAAATATTAATGTAGAAAAGACGAATAGTTTTATTACAAATAAAAACCTGTAAACCCATTTGCAATGTTGCATTTTTAACAGCGGCGATAGTTGAACTTGATAACCGTATAAAACGGTCTCCTTGCACATCACTGTTGCTTTATAGATCATAAAACGTGACAGTAAAGTTTGAAACTATCGATTTCATTGAGATGGCTAGGCATCGGTCGTCTTTAAAGCCTCTCGGGAATATAGGGAATTGATATTGATAACACTACTGTGAGAACTTCACACATATTTGATCTTAGAATATTTTGCATGTAAAATATTCTTGTATTACATCACATTTTACGTGTATTATCTTATTTAAAATTAGTTTTTCTCCAATTGAATTACTTCTTAGGTCTTTTCATCGCTTTCAGTTCTCTGTTGGACAATTTGAACTCCATCTTGTTGTCGCGGTAAGCTAACGGGTTTTCCGACTCCCTTTCCTTCAAATCCGCTTTCAGCTCTTCAGCGCTAACTTCGTCAATCCGTTTGCCCTTCCCATAGAAAATGTCTTCGGTATATACCCGGTCCTTCCGCCGATAAGTCCCATGAAGCTGCAAAAATCTTTGTGTATACTCAAAATTCAACAAACACACACAACTGACCTTATCCCAATAGCCAATATTAAAAGCAAAATTCACGTGAAAATATTGATGATGGTTGTCGTGAAAAATGGCATCGGGTTGCCACGGTTGCCACCAATATGCTTTAAAATTTACACCGGAGTGATCGATGATTCCGTGGTAATACGTGTACAAGGCTACGACGTAAAACGGGACTGAAAATAATTAAGAAGGAAACAGTTGAACCAACTTTCAAAGTGATTCATCTTACACCAGTGCGTAGGAATGATGAAAAGGGGCAGAATGTACATCAACTGAATATGGAGAGCTTCCACCGGGTGGATGGCGGTGACAGAAAACGCCGTAGGTTGTTTGTACTTGTGATGGAGCTTATGGAAGTTGCGATAAAGAAACGGCGTATGGTAGATTCTATGCATCCAATACGTTATATAATCCTTGAAACACAAATCCATTGAAATTTTTTCCACAAGCAAAGACATTGAGTGTATGTATCGTTACAATATTCAAACTGTATTGAAAGCGAAATAGGAGGAAACAACAGACACATATGAGCTCATATAAAGGCTCGTTTCGGATGCAACGTTTTAACAGCGGTGTAAATACTAAATAGAGTTATCGATCTGTATAGTGGAGGTTGAACAAAGTGTGTTTTAGTAGCAATTAAAGTGTTCGTTTTCCCTAACCTGGTAGATAAAAATGACAGGCCATTGGAGGAAAAACCATAACCAGCCGTAATCCGCAACGTTATAATAGACCGTGCTGTACCCTCCGTTAGCGATATAACAGGCTAACAACCCTGAAGTCGACGCATTCAAGAAAAGTGTCAGAGATCCGAGAATAATTTCGTGTCTCTCCAATTCAGGGGATAACCACTTCTTCGGTTGGCATTTCCAATCTTCAGCTCGGTCACGTCGACGTACATAGAAGTACCACTAGACAGACAAAGAACGGTCAAACGTTATTACACCATGCATAGGAAAACAAGTCTTAAAAGTTTATGACAGTCCCTTCTGTTTCTTTACCCAACGACAAATGTTTATGCGTACACATAAAAAGCAATTTGCACCTCTTCCAGTTTATGTTTTCTTTTACAGGCCTGATGGAAAAGCTCGGCATAAAACTCGCGGTAAAATTGTAAAACATTGTGCGCAAGGCGTACGCCGTGATGCGGATAGTTAAGCGATAAAATTCACATCATTGACATTGACAACAGTACTAAAGAGATTTGACTGAAACACCTGCATGTACCGACTTGAGTACTTAAATCTGATAACAATTCAAATCGATCAGACTGTATAATTCCAATAAAGTGCGACATTGTAGCAATTTATAAACGACTGGAAAGTCGTGTCATAAAGTAGAAAAATCACATTCCAATAAGTCGATATCGTTCAATTTAAAGCGGAAAAATGTAAATTTACTGTGCACTTGTATAAAAACGAGAACAAACAAGAAAAGCCCATTTCTACGCCAATGATAAATATACCTACGTGTAAAAATCCACCTATAAAAAAATACATAAAGTATGAAACAAGACATGATAATATCCAATAACTCCAGAAATCTTGTAGTCCTAGCGACTCCAATGATATCTCGGACCACTTGAAAGAGACATCTTTTCTTGAGTTTTCTTGACGACTAGTGTATCCAAATTGCCGCGCAATGTGCACGAAAATATTCACCCAATCTCCTAAAATACAATTTCGATCATTTTTCGTCTAGGCGATAATAATATGATAACGTAATTGCAAAATTGAGACGTGATTTGCGCTAACCTAGTAACAATTTTGACAATCTTGATTGTCTGACTCATAAATCAATGATTAAGTTTACAATTTCATATATTTATTGTAAAATTATTATTGTACTTTTGAAACAAATTTATCAAAGGATACAAATGTATTTTTGCCAATATTAAAAAAAAATGTTTTTTTGATAAACTTTTAACAATGACATTGTGCATTTACAAACTTATTAGAGCATCAATTAAACTACTCTAATGTAACACTAGAAATGAAAATATAAAAGGTTTTAGGTTTTTATTTACAGTTATTGTAAAATGCATAATGTAGTTAGAACTATGATTTCCTAGTTTATAAACACAACGTGTTTCAGAACTCGCGCCCTAGAGAAAAATGTCAAGTAAGATAAGATACCCCAAACATAGAAAAAATTCTATCTATAAAAATTTCCAAATTATGGGAGTTTGAAATTAGCAGCATTTTGGCTCTACTTATTTCTGCTGAAAAAATAATTTTACATGTTTTTTGCAGCAGGCTGTTAGAAGAGGAAACAAAGAAGCTGTATCTTGAGTTGTAACTATTGATGCTTAACGTTAGGTATGTATTTATGAATTTTATTAACAAAGTTTTTCTGCCTTTACTAAATAATTGTAAAAAAAACATATATGTATGTACAAGATCATCGGTAATATTAAATAGACATAAACAATCAAATGTCAAAAAATAAATGTCATCTTTTGACAAATAGATTTTTTATAAAAATTTTGAGAAACTTACCATTGACAGAGATCCCCACTAAGAAAATTGATATGGTTGCCAATAATTTTCCAATAGTATTTGGTAATAAATTCCAAAACTTATTAAGAGTTTCACTGTATTTTTCAGACCATGTCACAGCCATAGGATCGGGAAACCAACCATACAAATTCTCGTTTTGAGAACGTTTTTTCTTGTTATTACCCATCTTGACTAATACTAACGTTAAACTGGGAGTAAATATAAATACACACGTCTTTTTACAAATCCTTTATTTATCAGATTATTATGATAATACAATTAGACATAAGTACATGTGTCTTGGCCATTTTAATGAATTAAGAACACTTGTACTATGGTTGAAATGAAAATAGAGAGAACCAGTATAATAAGAGATATGAAATTTTTTTGGCTATTCCTATATATATAATATACTCCTACATATTTGTGATCAAACCTTTAAACAATGAAGTGATAAACAATAAACAAAGCTCTTTTAATTTAAATACACTTAATAGGTATTATCAAATCTGCATTTTATTTCACACTCAAGCTTTAGCACTATTAAGCATTTTAACACACCAAATGGTAGCAAATTTTTGATAAAACAAAATTAAACATTCTCAAAACATTACTCAAGTAATGTTAACAAAAAGCAAAAACTTTTATTTGCAATTATTTTGTGATTTCAAAACTTGGTGTCTTATACAAAGTGTATTTTATTCCAACATAAAATTGATATTGCTATTACTCGTACAGTGGAGGACACTGAATTTTAGACATCATATTTATGTCAGTTCAAAAAATGTCAATGTAAGCCACGCTTTATTGTAATTATGATTGACGTTTAAAACTAAAATTTGAAAATTTTAGTTGAAATTTATTTTTGATGTCGATTTTCCGAAACATTAATGTCAGCGATACGTATTTTTATATAAGTTCAATAATTTATTTTGATTTATTGTCATTTTTTCTCTATCAGGACAAAAATCGAAAGTGAGGTTAGTTGCCCAAGGCCCGTTTTACATTTTTATGTCAGTCGAATGACGAATCGTCCAAAATTCCGTGTGCGCCAGTGTATGCCTGTTGTATTTAAAAATTTGAAGCCACAACTGTGACTGTCGCTTGAGCCTTTTGGCGCCCTCTGTCGAGTAGTAGATAAACTGTTATATGTCTATTGATTTAAAACAAAACTGTTTGTAGTTAAAGTAAAGGTTCTAGTTTGAGATAAACTCAATAGTTACCTGTAAGTACGGTATTTTTAATGTACGCATAAGATAGCGCTGCAACAAACCCTTAAAAAATTATATTATAAATACAGTCTGTTATTGAAATGCGTTAAGAAAATTTAAACGGTGATAGAACTCATCAAAACAAATTACTTTGCTATTTACCATTTTTTCGAAAAATCTTTCTAAACCCAGATAAAATTTTA